AGGACTGGGGGATGATCTCATCTCTAGGCAACACATCCACAAAAGGCCTTGTCTGAGGAGCAGATCCCCTTGTACCTAAGGAGGGATGAGTTGGAAGTGAAGGAGCATCCAACACATCTTACCCTAATGTGGGTTCAGCATCCAGTAAGGTCAGGGCTCCCAGCACAGCCCTTCCCTGGCTTGGAACAACAAAAGGGTCTCTCCTCATTTTCACTAGCTGGCAGGAAGTTGGTATCTCAGCTACTCCAAGATAACATGACTCCTTCCTGAGGCCTTCCAGGGAACCTCGGCCCTCCCACACAATGGAGTTTATCTTGGAAGTTGTTCCTGCCCCTCCCTCTGTCTACACCTTCAGGTATCCCATTAGGGATGCTTTGATACTCAAACCCAGTAGGAAAGCACCCAGGTCCGTCAACCTCCAACCAAGCACAGCCTCAGAGTGGTGCCCTGGTCCCAGAGAACCATATCCTGCCTGCCCAAGGATGCAGCCTGTGGGATCATGGACCTGTCAAGGGGAACCAAAACTCCCAGGTAGGAAATGAACACTTCTGTGCCCACTTTCCCCCAAGCACGTGGCACTGGCAAAACCCCCATTGTTCTTCCTTTTGCACGCACCTGAAACAAGGTGATTCTCTTCTCTGTGTCAGAAAATCCTTCCCCTGCAACACAAGAGGGTTTCACCCTCAGCAGGATTTGCCCCCTGCTTCTCTTCCTCCTGCATAAAATGGGCCTAATAACTCCCTATCTCACAGGGCTTTGGAAAACCTCAATTAAACAAACTGCTCTGAGATTTGTGCAAGAGGAAAATGAAATCAACATCCTATTGTGAAGCCAGAGTCACTGCACACAGGTTTTCTGTATGTTCAGCCTCTGTGTGAGTGTCTGTAAATACACACCAGCCTTCATCACAAGGCTTGTCTCAGTAGGGAAGGAGTCACTTGAAGTTGAGGAAAAGCCAGATTTAGTTTTCCATGCAACCTTGGTTGACCTCTTCACATCCACCCTTGGCACTGAATGTGGAAAAAAAAACATACCACGTGGGTGTGTAATTAAAGGCTGGAGCAGAGTGTACCTGCCCAGGTGGTGCTCCCCAGATGAGGGGAACCCAGCACTGCACCTCGTGCTAGAAATAGTAGCCTCAGCCAATTCTCTCTCTAAATTGTTGGGTGGAGAACAGATCAAAAACAGTCCAGAGGAGAAGGATTTGGGGGTGATGGTGGAAAAGAAGCTCAACAGGAGCTGGAGCCCAGAACCCACCCGTGTCCTGGGCTGTGTCACCAGCAGCGTGACCAGTAGGGCCAGAGCTCTGCTCTGCTCAGATGGGACCTCATCTGGAGAACTGGGTTCCATTCTGGAGCCTCCACCACAGGAAGGATATGGAGCTCCTAGAGAGGGTCCAGAAAAGGCCACGGAGATGACTAGAGGGCTGGAGCATCCTGGCTGGGTCAAAAGCCCTTCTGAAGGCCTAGTTCTGGCTCTGCCCAAGTCCCAGGCTTGGTGCCATAACCCCTAGGTGAAAGGGTTATGCAGAGGGTCAGAAGAGGTGATGATAAAGCTCCCTTCCAGCCAAAACAATCCACGAACCTCCAAGGAAATCCACCATCCTCTGGCAAAAGCCAGGACCAGACTCTCCAAAGTGTAACAATGTCTGGCTCCAGAGGGGCAGAGCTATGAAATCATCTCTTCTGCTTGGGAGGTTCAACAAGCTACGTTGGCATTGCCTGGAAGCCACAGACCACAGGACTGGAATGCTGGGAACAAAACCAGAGCAGATAGGTTAGGAATGGCTTGAAAGGTAATGTTACACTGCTAAAAAGGACAAGAAAAATCAAGGCATTTCACGTGGCTTTTCAATATGGCAAAGGTGAAGTCAGAGGTTTCCTTTGAACGTGCTGGAAAACCATTGTGCAACCCAGCCTGCCCAGCAGGCCTGAGGTGGGAATGGCAGAAGCTCCTGCAAGTCAGGACCAAGGCACCTGAGCAGAGCTGTGTGGGAGGCAAGGCCAGGAGTCACAGGAGAGCAGCAGCTCCAGAGGGAAGAGGAGCAGCCAGGGATGAAGGAAGCTCAGACAGTCTCTGTAGGAGGCCTGGCTCAGTTCGAGGCCATTAACTTGTTGCTCTCTGAACATCACCAACAGAACTGGAAACAAAAGCATGTCTGCCCAGCATGGCTCATGGTGTGGCTGCTGAAACACTCCAGCAGAACAAGGAGTAGTGGGAAAGGCAAAGAGCCATTTCAGTGGCTGCATGCTCACAGGGCTGGGAGCTTCTGCATGAAGCCCAAGTCAAAACCAGGCAGGCAATTGGGATGTAGCCTTGGAAGTAGAAACAAATAAATGACTACCCTTCATTTTCTCCCATTCAGGAGTTTAAATTTAAAGGGGAGTCCATCAGCTTTAAATAAATCATGTTTGTAATTAAAAACATCTTTTCCTGCACTGCTTATGAGCTTTTGGATGATTAATAAGGCCTTTTTTAAATGACTTTAATTCACACTAATTATGCTGCTTGTTTACCCCAGTCAGTGATTTTTCTTGCAGGGAGATAAAACTGCCCCAGGAGGAGGTCTCCCTTCAGGGACCAAGAGGCAAAGGATCCCGAGGGAATTGCCTAAGGCACCAGCAACATATGGGAGGTCTTTTCACTGGAGCTGGTTACATGAGTCATGCTGAGCACTCCCAGGACTTCTTTTGCTAAGCCTGACTCTTTGACTGGATAAGATGAGGAGACATGAGCTTGTGCAGCTCCCAGAGGCCTTGAGCTTTGCCTAGACTTTGCCTGAGGTGCCAACCTAGCCAGGGAACCAGACTTTGCAGGCTTGGCATGAAAACATCACACCAGCTGCACAGCTCCTGGGTTGAGTCAGGATTGTGCCTGGCAGAAGTGAAACGTGCTCAGAAAGACACGTCACCTCCTGTGTCCTGGGCAGATGCTGGGAAGTCTCTTAGTCCTTTAGATAATACAGTACCAGAAGAGGAGATTGAGGTGAGACATGAGGAGGAAATTCTTTGCTGTGAGGGTGGTGAGAGCCTGGCCCAGGTTGCCCAGGGAAGCTGTGGCTGCCCCATCCCTGGCAGTGTTGAAGGGCAGGTTGGATGGGGCTTGGAGCAGCCTGGGCTGCTGGGAGGTGTCCCTGCCCATGCAGGGGGGTTGGATCTAGATGATCTTGAAGGTCCCTTCCAACCCAACCCAAACCATTCCATCATCTATGACTTCTCTTCCCAGTTGTGTGATCCCCTTCCAACATTACCTGAAAGAGCAGGATATATAGAAAAAAAGCAATGGTGCATTTCCATTCCCAACCCAGCACTGCAGCCTTTGAGGTGTGAATGGATTTGCTGGGTCACCCTTCCAGGAGAAGGGCTGAACATCCTGCCCCAGAAGCCTGTGCACAGCAGCCACACGTCAGGGGTGAGGGATGTGGAAGTCAGGAAGGGATCATGCTGCAACAAGCAGAGTGTTGCTCCAGCCCCTTCCCTCATGTCACAAACCAGGCTGCTCCTGCTTTGACTCCCCAGGACTCCTTCAAACTCTCCAAAGACAGCACTGATGTTTCCTCATCTTTTTACCCTTTCTCTCCTGTTTCAAGACTGCAGTTATTTCATAACCTACGTGTCTCTCTCTGGCAGTTATTCTTAAGCAACTAAGTGCCTAGTTAACAAAATATGCATGCTTGGTGCAGCAGGAACTGCTCTTCATCCAGCACTGCACATAAAATAGACCTTGTTGTTCCATGAAACAAGATACCAGGCAAGGCTTTCTCTTCTTGAGAGATGAGAGCAGCCACTAGTAAGACTCATAACAGCAGAGGAAAAAAAACCTGTAGTTACCCAACAGTGGCCCAAATCCTTCCAGTCAGACTCACAGCAGCATGTGAGTTTCTGTGGCAGCCTGATTTAGATGAACCCAACCAGCACTAAAAAGCATGACCACAACATTTATTCTAATACTTGTTGCACCACACCCTGAAAATAAGAAAAGGAATCAAGCTGAGAGAAGATATTTGCTGTCAAAGGTGGGGAAATACCTTCAGAAAGCTGCAATGTTGGCTCCCTCTAAGAAATTGAACAGAAGTGGCAGAAAGTCTTTAGATTTCTTATCAAAACCAGGTGTCTTGCTGGACTGGGGGTTAGCACAGGGCATGCAGGGCAGTGCAGCTTGTGCCCTGGGGCAGCCAGCAGGGACAGTTCTCACTTTCCAAGAAGATAAAGCAGGTAACTCTTTGTAAACTCTGACCCCACCAGCTGCCTGGGATTCTCTGCACTCTGGAGGTGCCCCCAAAACTGGCATCAACCCCAAATCTTTGAAAGCTTGAACCCTGTTCAATATGAATTGAGAGCACCTGGGCCCTAGTGTGCTAGCTCCTTAGAAGAACATTCTTGTGGACAGTGAGGGTGAGGCAGCAGCATCTGCTTTCTTCACAGGGTATCTCCACATGAGGCATCCATGGAGGAGCTGGCAGAGGGAATCCAGCACATTCTCCAGTCACATCCTTGAGCAATGTATTTTAACTTGTGGATTTGCACCAACCTGAACAAGCAGAAGGCAGCTGCAGGGGATAAGCTGGTGAAGGGATCCATGTTAGGCCTAGTGACCAGTTGCAAAGAAGAACAGATTGACCAGTTGCTTGGTTTTTGTTCCCAAGACAAGTGGACACCACAGAGGTAAGGCTGAAGCTCTCCTGTTTCATGTGGAAATCCAGAGTACACTCACTGCTCAGCTTGCTCAGCTGCTGCACAACCATTTCTTATGTTAAAACCATACAAAATTTTTAAAAACTCAGCCCATGAGCAAGACATCTAAATTACTGCTTGGTCTCAGAACATTTGTCCTTCACAAAAACCTCCTGAAACTGTGCTAGGCACTGGAAAAGGCACTGAGGGAGGTCCTGTGTGGGCTGAGCTCTGTAGGACAGGAATGCAGTCTCCCCAGCAGGAGGAGACACTGCACGGGGCTGTGAGGAGGACCCAGCTTCCAAAGCACGTGTCCCTTCCCCCTCCTCAGAGCTGCGGGGCCTCGGGCTTGCGGTACTTGCACTGGATCCACACCCTGTACATGGTCACCTGCTTCCCCCGGTTCACCTGCAGGCGTCGATCTACCAGGTTCTGGATCTTCTGCAGCCCAGCTCTTGTGAAGAGATCATCCAGTTCATCTGGAAGCAGAGAGAAGGAGACTGAGGATGATAGAGCTGTCATTTAACTGAGCCCTGCTCACACTCAGGGTATAGAGGCCCTTCAGTGCCTGAAGGGGCTCCAGGAAAGCTGGGGAGGGGCTTGGGACAAGGGCAGGGAGGGAGAGGACATGGGGGGATGGATTAAAACTGAGAGAGGGGAGATTTAGGTGAGACATTAGGAGGAAATTCTTTGGTGTGAGGGTGGTGAGAGCCTGGCCCAGGTTGCCCAGGGAAGCTGTGGCTGCCCCATCCCTGGCAGTGTTGAAGGGCAGGTTGGATGGGGCTTGGAGCAACCTGGGCTGGTGGGAGGTGTCCCTGCCCCTGCAGGGGGGTTGGATCCAGATGATCTATAAGGTTTCTTCCAACACAAACCATTCCCTTATTACAAATGATGTTCAAAGCTGGGCTGGAGGGAATTCACCATCTCCCTCTGGCAGGGAAATGTGAAGATCCAAAGGGATTTAACCACTGCACTGTGGGGGGACTGAGATCACAGTTTCTCTAGTTTCCCTGGAGTTCACCTTCTACCAAGGGAGGAAGGAATTCCTTGGAGGACAACTAGAATTAGAGACTCAACAAAGAGAAAACAGCTGCAGCTTCAGACACGGGTATTGCCTCTAGTAACCAATTAAGGGAGCATCTTCTGGCAAGTAGGGACAGATCCATCCCTCCTCCCTCCCTCTCTCTCCAGAGGAATTTCAGAGTCTGCAAGAGCAAAGAATGGGATCAGACCCAGGCTTTCAAATGGTGGCAATAAGATTTGTGCTGTATAGGCTGGAGGGGAACGGGATTCATTAAGGTCAAGTTTGTTTGGGGAAAAAAATCCTGAAGGAACCACACCCTGTTGGGACCCAATCAAAGCACCAAGAGCCCTGGAGGCTGCAACACTTGGACTGGCAGGTACTTCTGACCAAGCAAGTAAGTACCACAGAGCTGCAGCACTCTGGCCCTGGGCAAAGCCAGAGCCAGTCCTGCTGAGCAGCAGGGAGCTTGTTCAGCTGCAGCCTGGGAGAGCCTGTGATTTGTGTGGAGTTTCTGCAGAAAAGGGCTAACAGGTCCCAGCTTGTGCCCTTTTATCAGATGTTTCCCATCCTGAAGCATTTGCCAAACATGCCTGAAACCTTCATTTCGTTGTGACAAACAAGGTTTGTGTAGTGGGGAAGGGACCAGTTGGTTGCAGTTGTGGCACAGCTGCAAAACTGCCCATGCAGAGGGGCCCGTGGTGGCTGAGGGTGCAACTGGTGACAAGCAGGAGAACACAACCCAGGGGGAACACCAAGCAACAGCAGAGCTGAAGAGGCTGCCTCAGCTCTAGGCTGAACCACACCCTTCCCATTTCCTCATGGGAGAGCAGTAAAGTGAAGAGAAATTCCTTCAAGTGGTGTCCATTTCACTCCATCTGCTGCAGGCAATAAGATTCCAGGAGAGCTCCTCCAATCCCACCCTTGCAGTCTAGCAAACACACTCTAAAAGGATTTTATAAGGAATTCACCAATCATAGAATCATATAGGTTGGAAAAGACCTTGAAGATCCCCCAGTCCAACTGTTAATCCAGCCCTGCCAAGGCCACCACTAACCCAGGTCCCTCAGCACCACATCTACATGGCTTGGAAATCCCTCCACACATGAGGACTCCACCACTGTCCTAGGCAGCCTGTAAACCCTCTGGGGAAGAAATTCTTCCTAAAATCCAATCTAAAGCTCAACATAAGGCTTTGAGCAGCCTGATCTAGTAAAAGATGCTCCAGGTCCTCATGCAATTGGGAGACACTTAACATTTCACACTGCTCCAAGAAAGACAGGCTGGAAAGAGCTAGTGGCAAAACTTGAGGGCTCAGGAACAAAAAGAGGTGAGGAAAGCCAGGGGGGTGTCTTCTAGCCTCCTACCTTGTGTGAAGAAGTAGACTCTGGTGCCATCACCTCTCACATAGAAGTTATCAGACAGACATTGACCTGAGGATAAGAGGGATTTCAACAGTTACCAGCGATGATTTAAAAATCAACAACTGCCATCCCCCAGGAGCTACTGCTCCCAGTACACATGAGCTGCCTCCCCAGCAGGGCAGACACTGCTCCAGAGAAGCATCAGCTGGGAGTGATCTGGCAAGGCTCCCCAGGCTCCAAAATCAAATACCTTTCTTAAACCTGAGCTGGGCCAGGTCGTATCGGCCATAATCTCGTAACAAAATCATCCCTCCTGGCTTTAGGAGGCGACTCAGTCTGTCCACAATGCCTTGCATCCTGAGGAGGAGACCAAAAAGTAGTCAACATTCTGCAAATTTCTTTATCCTGCTTTTCAAAGGGAAGGTATAAAGTTTGACAGATGCTTCAGTGTCACTCAAAAATAGCAGGACTTTCAGGCTTGGGTGGGTTGGTTTTATTTGGCCTCTTTGTTTCTGACACTCCCTGATTCTGCTTTGCTTCCTACAGTGATAACTTAGCCTGTCACAGCAGGGATGAGCAGCTCTCTCTTATTAATTACAAAAATGTCTCAACTGGTTCCTGTAAAACAACTAAGAAGTGAACTTGAAGGAAAATGCTGTGAAATAAAACCAAAGGGAACAAAAAAAAAAGAGACCAGTGCAGGTTCGGACCAAGAACTTGTCACACCAAGATCACATCTGTGTTCTGGACCTGCCCCCTCCCTTCCTGCACCTCCCCTGTGAGAAATTCATCTTGCTCTTGAGCCTTCCAATCCAGCAGCATGTTTTCCACAAAGGGGTGCTGAGTGTGGCTGAGGTTTAGAGCAGAAGAGTGACTGTGATGGCAGCAAGACACTTGCCACTTCCAAGTCACACCCATCCTGTGCCACAGGTTGAACAGAAAGCACCTGCAAATGTCACTGGCTTAATGGAAAACTAGACCAGACAAACTTGAATTTTCCTTGATATGAGGGGACCTGCAGCTCTATAGGCATTATCCTCTGTGAGCAGAAGGAATCATTCAAACTTACTTCTCTGGGAGAATAGCTGAGAGGACAAAGATAAGAATGACCACGTCAAGACTCTGGGCTGGCATTGGGAAAGGACTCTGGTCGTTGCACAGGTCATGGACAAAGGCAAAGCAACGAGAGGGATCATACTCTGCATTGGTCTGTAGTGGAGGGGAGAGAAATCAGAGCATTAGCAGCAGTCCCTGGTCTCAGTTTTATCTGGACATGGGTGGGAGCGTTTTAACTTTCACATCACAAATCCTGGCTGCCTAAAGTTACATTTTTAGAAATCCCCTTTAGACTTCTGCAAGAAATGGGGTGATTTTCTCAAGCTGCTGCTCCAGGCTGCTCTGTGAACTCTGCTTGTGTCACCTTAGGAGGATGAAGTGGCAACTTGGCCTCTGCTGCTGGGCTCCCCATCTCATCGTGGCTGATTACATTTGATATTTCCTATATTCCCACTTCTGTCCTGGCCTGAAATTTGTTGGCAGTGTTAGTCCTTTGCCTAAACCCCAGCCTCCTGCTCCCCAGCCAGCAGTGTCCCTCCTCAGCTGCCTGTGCAGAAACAACCAGCCCACATTCCCAGATCTGCAGCAACACACACACACACACACACACAAAAAAAAGCTCCCGTTCCTGATAAAAAAGACTGATAAAAAAAA